CTGCGGCTATCATTCTTGGACGATTGGTGACAGCCACATCATAATTGGTGTATATCTCTTTGGCTATCTCCCAACTACTCACTACCAATCCTGGGTGAATCCCTATCCGAATTGCGTAGACAGGACCATATTTCTCGGCCAAGGCTCCCAATGTTACGTGAGGAAGCTGCGGTCCTCCTAACAATCGTAAGTGGCCAATTACGGGCCATGCACCTGCAGCCTGGGGTGCCCTTTTTTTGGTTTGAGTAACTCTCGACCATCGTAAGAGATAGAAGAAAAGGAGAAGAATCGCTGCTAGTCCAGCCACAAAAGTGCTCAGATGAGGCAGAAGAGAAGCCATTGAGAAGCAAATGATTAGTCTCTATAGATGGGTGTGGTATCTAAGATATGTGGCTAGCATTTGCAGAGGACATTGATATTTGTCTACTTCCATTGAGCTAGATTCAATGTCTTTATATTATTGGATCCTGAGAGCTAGTCGTGTATCACGTTCTTCTATGCCCATACCCGAAGAATGATTGCGTGACACCTCGGGCCACCATTAATCAACTTGCGCTGACCGGATAGAACTTTAGGTTAGGCACCTCAATAATTTCCAAGCAACTTGACACATATAAATTTCCAAGCAACGTCACACATGTCAAGTTCTTTATTACTATCAACTTGAAGCAATTTAAGCTAGACTTGGGATTTTTTTTTTAAAGAATTTAAGAGTAGTGATTAAATCTCATGTTAATTAATTTATGGTTATAAATTGGACACGACATTCATGTAATCTTCTTATCCTACCATCATGCGAAAAACATTTCAATTCAATTCAAATTAGACAAGTAAATTTGTAATGCATGACTTCACAAAAAATATGCAAAAATTCAATAATTCAATTTATTTTCGTAATTACACAGTCAATAATCATTTGAATTTATTTATTGCTAAGAAAAAGATATTTATTATTGATAATCTTAATTTCAGTCACAAAAAAGTTATTGGGTGGGTGGTGTGTACAACTATTGCCCAACTACTTACTTTTTTTTCCTTTCTCAATTATAACCCATAAATTCATTTATTGATAGTCTTAATTTCAGCCACAGAAATGTTTTAAGTGTATGGTGTGGAAAATATGCCCAAATACTTAACTTTGTTTTACTTTCTCAATTATAAAAAATAAATTAATAGTCATACATAATAATATATTTTGTAATTTTTCTTATATAAGAAAAAGATAAAGTTCTAGTATGGTCCCCCAAGACTTTACAATTTGGCCCTCTTTTGTAAATCTTATAGTTAATATGATTAAATTGTCAATCCTTTTGGTTTAAACCTCATTATTCATTTGATTCTCTTTAAATTTTATCTAATTAAACATTATTAAACATGATTTTTCTTCTCAATCAATCAAACAAATATATATTGGCATCAAATATGGTGTCAACTATTTTCTTTCTAGATGCTAATAATATAAAAGCAATTAAAGTAAGTTAATTAAACCACTATAGTGTTTTAGTTACCTTTAATTTATTTTAAATTGGAAATTAATTTTAGCAATTTTATCATTAAATTTCTATTACTAATATGCAGCGATATTTTCTCAATAGAAAAATCGACTCTTTATTGTCAGAAACAGTTTTGCAATGAAATCTCTTGATGATGTACCCTCCTTCCAAAGTCCAAAGCATGACAGCTGCATATAGATAATAATAAAAGAAACGTAAGTAAAAATGCATTCCTTCTCTGTCTCTGTCCCTGTCTCTCTCTGTGTTTATATTGCATGACTGAATCATCCATATATGTTAGGAGAAAGACGAGGGGTGATGAGAACTTCAAGAGGGGTGGCTTTGATGATCGTCAGACCAGGACTCTGAGTCATATCAACCCTTGCATTTGATGGGGTGGAGATGTCGAATCCATGTAATAAACCAGCCAATGTCAAGCTCAACACGTGGAGACCAAATGAAATTCCAGGGCACACCCTTCTGCCACAACCAAATGGGATCATTTGGAAGTGCTGTCCCCTCACATCAACATCCTTAT